AAATTGCAAAGTAAGCATCAATATAAAAAGGAGAAATGAATTGCATGTACTTTGATCAAATTGCAGAGAAGCAGCTCGATTGTTTCTTTAATTTCATTTCTTAACTTCTATGAAGTCCAAGACCAGGATTGGTTTGTTGAGGAACTTCAGAAAACTATTTCTACAAGTGGAAATAGTAGACAAACATTTAAGAGTAGCCAAAATGTCCAGGAGTCTCCAATAGCTTATAGAAAACAATATCTGGTAGTATTATAGACTGAAGGTCCATGTAAACCCCAAATTCACAAGGTACAAGGTGAACTCCCAGTGGGTGGCATTAGGAAGGGGCATCTGGGAGGGACCTGGAATTAGATGAGATCATAAAAGATGCTCATGAATTATTAGTAATCTCATGAAAATCTGTTCTGTTCACACAACAGAATTTTCATTTAATAACAATTTCTATGATACTGAATTGATTTGTAATTGCCATGTTTATCCCATAAAATTTATTGTATCTTCCAAGTTCAAAAAACAGGAAGCAAAATGGAGCTGTCCACTGTAAGGAGTTCTTCATTATACAAAGGAACCAATATTCTCATGAATCTTTGTAGTCCAAATTTATCTACCACAACTTTTGTGGAAATGCAATCATTTTCTGCAGCAACAATGACAGATTTTTTTTTTTATATTTCTTTTCTCTAGTAGCATTCTTGATCCTAACACACATAACTACATTTGAATCAAATTATAAAAAAGGTGAGGTCTCACAAACTTTCTACATGTGGAAAGAGAAAGCAGAAAGGTAAACAAGAATTTTTTTTAAACACACAAACACACACACACACACAAACACACAAAACTATCTTTTCTTGAAATCATTTTTTTAAAGTCTTTTAGAATAGTTTACTTTGCTGAGCTCTGAATAAACACATTTTACATTTAAAACTGGGTCTTAAATAAGGGGGCAGATTATTTCAAAGTGAAAAACACAGAGAGTGCTGGTGCTGAGAGAGCATAGATGTGTCAGGCTCAAGGGGCAGGTAAGGTCCCGCCTGGTCCTGCTCACTGAAACACTCCATGATCACCCTCCCAGGAGACCTGGACCATGACTCCAGTCTATGAGGCTTTTCAGGTTTGCAAAGCACTGCACTGGGGTGGGTGGTTCTTATGCTCTGGGAGAGTTTTCCTCCTATACAACTGTGAGAGAATGCAAGGGTAGGAATCACTGCTGATCTGGCCCCTCAGCACCAGCATCCACAGGCTGATTGTCCACCTGTCTCCAAGGAATGGGAACAGGGCTTGGGGGAGACAGTGTCCCTAGGAGGCAGCTGTCTAGATGAGGCCTATTCCAGGAGATTCCTCAGTCCCAAGGCCTCCAGCTTCTCCCCTAAGAAGCTGAAACCCACATCTCAGGCTGCTCTCTAGGAGGAGTTGACCCTGAAATTGCCTGTACCCTGCAGGACAAAGGTCAGCTATAGGCACCTAGGGGCAGCCCCATGAAAGGGCAGTGGCCTAGTACACAGGACCTTGTGAAGAGTCTAGAGGGAACTTTTACCCTAAGGCATTAAGCCTCTGTGCCTGGGCAAGGTAAAGGAAGACAGACCCAAAGAGTTGTGAAGTGGGGCTAGCTGGTGGTGCACTCCTGTAATCCCAGAAAGGAAGATGGAAAGTTCTGAGCCAGCCTCAGCAACTGGTGAGGCACTAAGCAACTCAGTGAGATCCAGTCTCTAATGAAAATACAAAATAGAACTGGGATATAGGTCAGCTGTTGAGTGCCCCTGAGTTCAATCCCTAGTACCCCCCCACACACCCTGAAATAAATAGCAAGAGTTGCAAAAATGGAGTTCCAGGTGACTGTCCTCTGCTTTCACCACTTGGCAAATGTTCACAAACAGAAACAAATATTTGATGCTGTGCCCAATGAATGCAGTGTGAGGAGCAAAGAATGGATAATGGTCTGAACTGGACCAGGAAGTTGAGCCTGGAAATGTGAGGAGAAAGTAGGTATTATAAGGATCAATAACAAGCTCTAGCAGGGATTAGGTGTGGGAGATGGGGGCAAGTTGACTCCTAGTGAAGAGCATGGACATGGACTCCGCAGATCAGCATTCTCCACACAGGAGCCCCACACCTGAGGCAAGATCCCCTGAAGTCCACTGTCTTCAATGCACACTGAGGGGCTGGGCTGGCAACAAGCTGCACAGAGAGTGTTCTGCCAAAGTGGCTACAGACCAGGCAGCACACTGGGAACTTACCTGCACCAGCCCACACCATGGACTGAAGGCATCAAGGGCTGAGCTGTAGCAGCATCAGACTCAGGTCTGGGCTGACTGACTCTGGAGCTGACAGTGGGAGGCCAGAATCCAGCCACAGCTGGTTACCACCAGTTCTAAACAGCCCACCTCCCTGAACAGTCCTGACCCCACACACTCACCATTTCCTGCCTTCTGGAGAGTCCTGACTTCCTTCCTGTGGACCTCATAGCACCTGGAGGTCAAAAAAAGATAGACCTGAGCCAGAGCCACTTGGGCCTCAGACAACAGAGAAGACACAGTCCTGGAGATGGATTCTGAGCTGCAGAGGATGAGAGATGAAGGCCTCTGAGACCACAGAAGGCCACCTGCTCCAGAAGACCCCTCTCTTGTTCCAGCCCACATAGGCACACTTTGGGGCATGAGTGAAAGGAGATGTATCAGGCTCCTGGATAAATGAGGCCAGAAGGACAGGGTTTTGGCTACGGCCCTTTTCAGGCAAGGTTTCCTCCCTACAAGGGGACCTGCCCCACCAGGGGACACTTCCACTTAGGGAGAGCCGAGTCCTGGCTTTCCAAAGCAGGCCCCGAAGTTCTTCTGCACTTCTGGGCACAAAGTCACAAGCATATGTGAGGAATTACATCCTTGGTGTCCAAGGCAGCCGACTGCCATCTTTTTAACCCATGGCAGACACCTTCGGATACTGAAAATCCCTCCCCTCTTTTTTTCCCCTTCATAAGCAATTAGGGGAACCATTTTCTCTTCAGGAATCAGAACAAATACTTGGTACTCAAACTCAAGTTTCCCTCCTTCCTCCAGGACCCTGGACTCTGACCCACTGGTGCTAGAAATAACTTAGAACCCTTCTTCCTGGTGCCTCTTGAGAACAGGCTGACTTCTGGGGAAACACTCTCTGACCTGGGATCTGACCTGGCCCCCTCCTTCACTGCTCTCCCCTCCGGTTTCTCTCTGATCCTGTTTGCCCCTCCCTAGGAAAGCAGCCCTTTCTGCAGGAGCTGTGGGTGCTTGCAGAGCTGACTGGTTCCACACACCCATAAGTTCAACCCCTGGTACAAAAAAAAAAAAAAAAAGGCAATAAACTCAGTGTGAGGGAGGAAACAGTATATAAGAAACTTTATTTGACAGAATATTAGACCAAATATTTCTTTTTCTTATTCTTCTGAATTACCCTTCTTCCTTGCCCTCTGGAAATATTTTCTCATCTTTTTTGCATCTACTAATAAATGGCATTTTGCAGCTAATGACTAATTGAAGTGAGCAAGTCTTTCCAAGGCAGCAAAGCCAGGGAAGGGGGACACTGACCTGTCAGACTCCAGCTTCAGGTCAGCCCACCTGACACCAGGTACATCCTCCCACCCCCTCAGGTTGCCTTTGTAGTTTCTTGAGTGGTAGTAGTGGTCGTTGTGATCATTGAGCCTCATCTGCAGCTCATTTTATTTTTTATTTTGAGACAGGATGTTGCTAAAGCAGTTTCAAAACTATGATCCTCCTGCCTAAGCTTCCCAAGCTTGCTGGGATTACAGGCTGGGCCAAAAGTTTATAGGTTTTTGCTCCACACTGCTGGGGTCAGTTTTCCCTGCTTTGGAATCCTTGTTGTCCCTTCATGACTCTAGAATCCAGAGGACAGTAATCATGTCTGTCCCTCTCCCTTCATACCAGCATCCCACTGTCTGACCAGCGGGTCCCTAAGAATGGACAAGGTCACAGGGTGCAGTGGCACATACTTGTAATCCCAGCAGCTCAGGAGACTGAGGCAGGAGGATTGTGAGTTCAAAGCCATCCTTAGCATCTTAGGGATGCCCTAAGCAGCAACTAAGTGAGACTCTTGTCTCCAAATATTTAAAAAAGGCTGTGGATGTGGCTCATAGATTAAGTGCCCCTGGGTTCAATACCTGGCTTAAAAAAAAAAAAAAAAGAATGGAATAGGTCTTATGGGGAGACAGTGTCCCTCTCCAGGAGATTCCTCAGCCCCAGGGCCTCCAGCTTCTCCCTTCAGAAGCTGCACTCCACACCTCAAACTGTCCTCTAGGAGGAGCTGACCAGGGCCTGAAATTCCCTGCATCTTGCAGGACACGGGGCAGCTGTGGACACTCTGTGACAACCCCCATGAAAGAACAGGATAGTGGGTCGGGACACAGGATCCTGTAAAGTGGCCAAAAGACACCTGTGCCCAAAGGCATTAATGAGGCATTTGTTCTTAGAGAAGATAAAGAGTCATAAGTGCTTCTTAATCTCAAATTCAGGTCATTCCTCTCTGCTTTCCACTCCTAGGAAAGAAATGTTCACCCATGTAAAAAAAAAAAAAAGGGGGGGGGGAGCATCCATTACTCGGTGAAACTACAACAACTAAATCACTGTCACCTGCACGTCGCCTTAAGAATGGAGGGTCCAGAAGGTGCACGCCAGAGGGTGCAGTCAGCGGCATCTGGGAACGCGGGAAGGCATTGCTGCTGCCCTAGGAGGAGCCAGGCTCTAGAATGGCAATGCATTTGGGACCCGCTTCTTGCGCACGGGGAACCGGGCGCGCGGATAAGCGCGTTCTTCCCAAGACCACCGCCGCTGTGTGCCTGGGAACCGCAGGCTGCGGGAACTGCCCACATGACCCATGGAGGTCGGAAGTCGCCAAAGGGTGAGGACTAAACTCCAGGGTCCCGCTGCCGCTTAGCCCACTCCGGGGACCCAGGTGACAGGGGACAGCGCCACTCACCAACGGGGACCCGCGCCAGCCCACCAGGACAGGGCCCTGGGCCACCCACCAGCCCGGACTCCGCCCCACGTTCCGCAGCTGAACCTCACGCCGGTCCCCACGCCGGGCGCTGATCGGGTCCCGCCAGTCTTGACCGCACACCCACCGTCTCTGGTCTGCCGAGTGATTCGCTGACCTCCCGAGGAATCTTTAGAAACCCGTGCGGGGAGACACAGGCCGCGCAGAGCCTACCGAGCTTCCGGAGCAGAGGACGCGGGCCTGCGTGGAAGGAGCTCCGCAGACGAGGAAGAAAAGCCCGCGAGACTGCCGAAGCCCGCCTTTGCTGTCCGTTCGCGCGCTGGACTGGACAGTTCCGCCCCACCGCCCTGATGGACAATACCTAGGCAACGCCCCCGTCGTGAGTGACAGCTAAGCTCATCCAATCCCTGCCTGCCAGAGGCCAGAGTGACAGGTGTATTGACCCATCTCTTTTCAGGTTCACCCTCGCGGTTGCGCTGAGACCTGATCCTGTGGGGACGCGTTCGCTATGAAGCAGGCAGAAGATAGTTTAGAAATGGTTGTCACGAACGGAGCAAAGCAGAGGAAGAGATGTGCCGCTCCTGCCTGAAGCGACTTGAGCTTTGCTTCCTGACCCTTCCTACTGTTGTGACTGCTTGGGCGCTCAAGGGAGCCCGGCTTCTAGGGCAGCAGCCTGCGGTGGCGACCTGATGGGTGCCACCAGCGTAGTTCACAGGTCTGGAAGCCACAGGGACCAAGTTCAAGCAGGTGAAGTTGATTATAAATTACTCAACGAATGTGTGCAGTGTTTTTTTTTTTTTTTTAACATGTGATCAACCCAATACAGTAGATTTTTATTAGTGGGTATTTTCCGGGAGACTGCCCTGACATTTACTCTGCATTCTGATCTTCATTCCAGAATATGCCACCTTCCGTGTTGATATGGATTGCACACCAGATGTTCCCCAAGAGCTCACATGTGACACCCATCAGGAACATTCAGAGGTGAAATTTTTATAGGCCTGAGGCATTCTAGGAAACTGAGGCAGTGTGACCTCCCCTTTCAGACCCCAATTCTTTAGAAAAACAAAGGTCTCAGGCAAGTTGCTCAGAATTATAGGCATGAGTTTATTAGAAGGGATAGGAAGGAGAAAGGGGACATTCTCGAGACAGGGGGACCTCTCAGGAGAGGAACGGTGTGCACTCCAGTGCTCCAGTTTTATTGGGGTCCCAGGGAAGTTCCTGGAGAGTTCCAAAGTTACACATATTGACTTTTGACTGACAATAAAATGACATCAGACTTTTGCTCCCCGCTGTCTTGACAGTGCTAGGTCACTTTGGTCGACGGTGACTGGTTCTGATTGGAACCTGTTCTTACAAATTTTATAGTTAGGGAGAATGAGCCATATCTCTCTGAGCTTTAGGATCTAATCTGGGAAAGTGTCACAAAAGTCCCCCCTCAGAGTAACTGGGGTTCATCTTATTGACATTATTCTGGGCCTGCATTTCTCCTGCAGATAACAGGTAGTTTGTTGAGGAGAATGTGACATATGAGGCCAGCAGTAGTGTGTATGAATTACTTCTTGGAAAATAAAGCATGAGGAGGGGCAGAACAGTGGGCCCATTTTAGAGAATTATTCACTGGACCTCATGTTTCCACCACTCACATCTGTCCGCCTCCTATCAAAATGATTATTTTTTGAGAGTTGTAACTTCATCAGTGGGTTCATCCACTTGATGGATTAATCATTTGAAAGAACCGCTATACTGGATGGTACCTGTAAACAGCCAGGGCCTGCTGGAGGAAGTATGTCCTGTGAGCTTGCCTTTGGGGTTTATCTTTGGTCCCTGGCATTCCTCTGTTTTTAAAAACATTTATTCTTTTAGTTATATACAACACCAGGATATGCCCTGACATGTTCATAAAGATATGAAATCAACCTATAACAGTTCAGTCCCCAGCACTTCCCCCTGCCCCCTCAACCCTCCTTCCACTCCTCTGATCTCTTTAGTTCATCTACAGTAGAGTTTTTAAAAAATCATTAGTATCCTGTGGATGTGCCTGATGCCAGGATCCACCATGCCCCGACCAGGCATATAGGAAAATTCTGTCAGATCCCTTCCACTGCTCCTTCCTTATCCCATCCCTTCTTCCTCCTCCTCTGTCCCCTTTGTCTATTGTACTCATCTTTCCTCTACTTTGTTGATATTTCCTCTCCTGTGTTTTTTTCTCTTCCTTTTTTTTTTTTATACCACCCCTCCTCTCTTATTTTTAATTAGCTCCTGCATATCGGAGAAACTTTTCAATTTACCTGCATGTATTTCTTTTTTTTTTTAATCCCTAATTTATTTATTTATTTATTTATTATTGGTTGTTCACAACATTACAAAGCTCTTGACATATCATATTTCATACATTAGATTGAAGTGGGTTATGAACTCTCAATTTTACCCCAAATGAAGATTGCAGAATCACGTCAGTTACACATCCACAATTTTACATAATGCCCTATTAGTAATTGTTGTATTCTGCTACCTTTCCTATCCCCTACTATCCCCCATCCCCTTCCCTTGCATCTATTTCTTTATGTATTTCTTACCTATTGCTGCAAAACAAATCACTCCAAAAGTCATTAGTTTATGAAGGAGCTGGCCAGCAATTCCAGGTAGGCTCAGCTGGGCTCCGTCAGATGAGCATTAGGATGGCTGACCAGACAGCTCTGCTTCTGGGGTGAGCTGGCTGTGTACTGGGGCACCTCCACTTTCCTCCCTGTGCGGTGTGCCTTTCTCCAGCAGGCTGATGTGGGCTTGTTCTCATGGAGATTTCAGGGTCCCCTCTATTGCTACTGTGGTATGTCCTAGCTGGCATGCCTGGGGACGAGAAGACAGCCAGGTCTTTCCTCTACCAACAGGGAGCAAGCTGGAGCCAGAGCCAGGGACACTTCCTCCCAGGCCTCCTGTGCACCCAAGGACAATGACAGGGATTTTCACCCCACAACTCTTTGAACTAAAGTACCCATGGAATCAAGCTAGACAGGATGTGGCAAAGTCCCTCTCCACACCAACTTAGGCTGTGTACCCCAGGGGTGGGCAGACGTACAGGGCCAAGTCACGGCTCATGTGACCCTCAGTGCAGCCTGTGTCTGGAGCAGCTCTGGAACCATGGAGCTCTTTCCCACCCCATGGTGATGTTACAGGTATGAGGCCTTCCACACAACTGAGGCAGCATGAAGAGCCCCCCCTTCACCCCAAGACTTGCAATCATGCCAGAAAGATTCCAGACATGTTTCTCAGTGTATCAGAAGTGAGCTCATTTGAATGCATGTAAAAGTGGCAAAGGATCACTGAAGGCAGAGAGTGAGTCCTCTCAGGATGGAGAGGGACAGCACACTCCTTCTGCTCTCCAGTTTCACTGGGGGGTCCAGGAAGTTTCAAGAGTCCTGTCCATGCCACCTTTTGACTTACATCATATGAGCTGCATGGACTTCCTCCCAGAGAGGATGATGTACTGCTCAGAATTGGGAGTTTTTAGGGAGATTGAGTCCCATTGTTTTGTCTCAATTTCCCCATCCCCTAATGGGTTTCTTATTGAATTTCCCTATTTTTTGCCTCAATTTCCTGCCCTTTAATTAGTTCATTACCTTTTAATACGTGTTATGACCTAGTTTTGGAGATAAAGGAGGATCCAGGAGGCTTGGTTACATGAAATAATGATGACATTGTCCAGAAATGATAGTTTATCTCAATGAATGCTAGAGGAGGCTTTGACCTAGCAGGCCCCCATCTTACAGGTGTTTGCCATTCAGATAAGGCTCCTGAGGCTCAGCCACACTTCTTGATCTCTTCCTGCTCACCCATTCATGGCCAACTGCCACCTAACAGTCTCTCCTGGATTCTATTGTTTTCTGATGTGCTAGGGATTGAGTCCAGGGCCTTATGCATGCAAGGCAAGCACCTGAGCTATATCTACCAACTGAGCTATATATACCCCCGCATCCCCCCAGATTATTCCAAGACATTTGCACATCAGCATGATCTGGCTGCTTTCTGCTGAAGGAAGTGAACCTAGGAGAGGTGTCCACGCGTCCTTGTTCTTCCTCAGGTAGGGCATGGAACATGAAGGGTATGTAGCACTGCGGAACATCAGAGGTTCATGTTGGTGCATGAGGCACATGTAGAGCAAGAATCATGCTAAGACAACAGTAAAAAGCACAACAAAGCACTATTGTCTGCAGACAGCCCAGAAGCAATCAGTTCCATCGGCCAGTCTCTGAAAACAATGAAGACAGTAACTCGTAAAAGCTTCGGGGATAAGCCATATGCCACTGATTTGTGAGTGGAAGCCATTTAAGGCTTTAGAAAGATTTTCAGAATCGTGAGAAACATGTACACATCATATAGTTTTAATAAAATCATAGGTGTCCCTTAAACTATAGAAATCTAATCATCGGATTCTGTAAAACACCTTTTTAAAAAATATTTGTCCTAAGTAGTGATACATGACAGTAGAGTGCACTTTGATAGATCATCAGATTGTACATGATGTAGAATCCCACCAGTCATACAGTCATATATATATACATATGGTAATAATGTCTCATACTTTCTACTATTCTTCCTGCCCCCATACCTCCTCCCCTTCCTTTATTCCTCTCTACCTAAAGTAACTTTATTCTTCCCTAGCTTATCCCCACATTGTGAATTACATCTGCATATCAGAGAAAACACTGGGCCTTTGGTTTGGGGGAATGGGCTTATTTTACTTAGCATGATATTCTCCAATTCTATCCATTTACCAATAAATGCCATAATTTCATTCTTCTTTAAGGGCTGAGTAATAGTTCATCACATACACACACACACACACACACACACACACACATACACACTACATTTTTAAATCCATTCATGTGTTAAAGGGCACCTAGATTGGTTCCATAGTTTAGCTATTACGAGTTGACCTGCTATAAACATTGATGTGGCTGCATCATGGTAATATGCTGATTTTAAGTCCTTAGGGTATAAACTGAGGAGTGGGATACCTGAGTCCAATGGTGGTTCCATTTCAAGTTTTCTGAGGAATCTCCAAACTGCTTTCCATAATGATTGCACCAATTTTCATTCCCACAAGGAATATATGAATGTATACCTTGCTGCCCTCACCACCCCCACATCCTTGCAACATTTTTTATTGTTTATATTCTTGATGAATGCCATTCTGACTGGAATGAGATGAAATCTTAGAGTAGTTTTGTTTGCATTCTGTAATTGGTAGAGATGTTGAACAGTTTTTACATGTTTGTTGATTGATTGCATATATTGTACTGTGAAGTGTTGTTTAGTTCATTAGCCCATTTATTGATTAGGTTATTTGGTTTTTTGGTGTTAAGTTTTTTTGAGTTCTTTAGATACTCTAGAGATTAGTTTGCTCTCTGTGGGTGGGAAAGATTTTCTCCCATTCTGAGGGTTATGTCTTCAAGTTTTTTTTTTTTTTTTTTTTTTAATGCTGAGGATTGAACTTAGGGCCTTGTGCATGTGACACAAGCACTCTACCAACTGAGCTATCTCCCTAGCCCTATGTAGGCTCTTTCTTCAACTCATTGTTTCCTTTCTGAGAAGAAGCTTTTTAGTTTAAATTCATCTCATTTATTGATTCTTGATATTACTTCTTGTGTTTTAGGAGTTTTGTTAAGAAAGTCAACATTGTGAAGGTTTAGGCCTACTTTTTATTAGGTGTAGGGTCTCTGGTCTTTTTTGAGTTGAGTTCCATGCAGGGTGGGAGATAGGGAATTAATGTCATTTTTATATGAGGAGTTCCAGTTTTCCTATCACCATTTATTGAATAGGCTATTTTTTCTCTAATGTATGTTTTGGCCACCTTTGTCTAGTATGAGATAACTGTATTTAAATGGGTTTGTCTCTGTGTCTCTATTCTGTACCATTGGACTACATGTCTGTTTTATTGCCAATACCATGTTGTTTTTGTTACTGTGGCTCTATAGTATAGTTTAAGGTCTGGTATTGTGATGCCACCTGCTTCACTCTTCTTGCTAAGGGTTGCTTTGGCTACTGTGTGTCTCTTAGTTTTCCAAATGGGTCCCATGTTACTTTTTCTATTTCTATTAAGAATGTCATTGGGATTTTATTTTTTTAAATATTTTTATGTATATTTTTTAGTTGTAGGTGAACACACAGTTTTTTATTTTTATGTGGTGCTGAGGATTGAACTCAGTGCCTCGGCATGCGGGGCAAAAGCTTTATCACTGAGCTACAGCCTCAGCCCACTTACTGGGACTTTAATAGGAATTGAATTAAATCTATATAATGCTTTTGGCAGTATGATAATTTTGACTATATTAATTTTGCATATCCAATAACATTAGAGATCTTTCCATCTTCTGAAGTCTTCTTTAATTTATTTCTTTAGTGTTCTATAGTTTTCATTGTAGAGATCTTTCACCGTTTTTGTTAGATTGATTCACAGTTTTTTTTTTTTTTGAGGCTATTGTGAATGGGGTAATTTTACTAATTTGTCTTTCAGTAGATTCATCACTAATATATAGGAATGTGTTTGATTTATCCATGTTGATTTTATAATATGAAACTTTGCTGAATTGATTTATGAGTTCTAGAAGTTTTCTGGTGCAATTTTGGAGGGTCTTCTAAATATAGAATCATGTCATCAGCAAATAATTTGAGTTCTTCTTTTCTCCTATCTAATTACTTTGGCTAGAATTTCAAGGATGATGTTGAATAGAAGTCATCAAAGAGGACATTCTTGTCTTGTTCCATTGTTTCAGAGGGAATGCTTTCAATTTTTATCCATTTAGAATGATGTTGGCCTTGAGTTTAGCATACATAGCTTCTATGATGTTGAGGTATGCTCCTACTACATTTACTTTTTCTAGTGTTTTGAACATTAAGGGTGATGTATTTTGTCAAATGCTTTTTTAAAATCTATTGAGATGATCATATGATTCTTATTTTTACATCTATTGATGTGAAAATTATTGTTATTGATTGAACCAACCTTCATCCCTTGGATGAACCCTACTTGATCTTGGTACACTCTTTAATTTGTTTTTATATGCAGTTTGCCAGAATTTTATTGAGAATTTTTATGTGTATATTCATCTGGAATATTGGTGTGAAGTTTTCTTCCTTTGATGTGCCTTTGACTGGTTGACCTGCAGACAAGATCATAAGAAACCAAGAACAGAACTGCCAAGAATTATGGGATAATATGAAAAAAACAAAATTTAAGAGTTACTGAGGTAGATGAAGGAGTATAGATAAAAACCAAAGAAATGCACAATCTTTTCAAAGATATAATATCAGAAAATTTCTGAAACTTAATGAATGAAATGGAAAATCAAATACAAGAGGCTTCCAAAACTCCAAATGTACAAAACACCAGACCTTCCCAAGACACATTATAATGAGAATGATTAACAGAGAAAAAGGATAAATTTTTAAATATCACAAGAGAGTGGGGGAAAAAACTATGTATGTGATAAGTCCTGGAATAATATATTTAAGCTCTGAAAGAAAATGGATGCCAACCAAGTATTTTAAATCCAGGAAAATTAAGTTTCAGCTTTGAAGATTAAATAAAAAATCTTGCATGATAAACAAAAGTTAAAACAATTCACATTAGAAAGCCTGTACTACAGAACATTCTCAAAATATTCCATGAGGATGAAGTGGGAAAAAAAAGTGAAAAGCAGCAAATAGAGGAACTACACCAAAGGAATAGTCAACCAAAGGAGAAACTAAGTCAAATTAAAAACCAGAAATAAACCAAAATGACCAGAAATATAAATCATGGATGTTAATGGCCCAAACTTTTCAATCAAAATACATAGACTGTCAAATGGGAATAAAAAACAAAACCCAACAATATGCTGTCTCCAAGAGATTCACCTCGTAGGCCAAGACATCCACAGACTGAAGGTGAAAGGATGGGGAAAATCACATATATGGACTGTGTAAACAAGCAAGGTTTCCATCGTCATATCAGATAAAGTGGACTTCAAGCCAGAGTTAATCAAAAGGGATAGAAGAAGGCAATTTTATACTGCTTAAGGGAATTATTCATCAACCAGACATTACAATCATATATATTTATGCCCTAAACAATGGAGCATCTATATGCATCAAACAAACACTTTTCAACTTCAAGAATCAAATAGACAGGGTCTGGGGTTTTGGCTCAGAGGTAGAGTGCTTGCCTTGAATATGTGATGTACTGAGTTGAATTCTCAGCACCACATATAAATAAAAAATAAAAGTCCATCAATAACTAAAATGAATAAATGAATAAAATAAATATTTTTTTAAAAAAGAATCAAATAAACCACAACACAATAATACTGGATGATTTTAACACATTTATAGCCACTGGATAGATCCCACAAGCAAACACTAACAAAGAAACACTAGAACTAAATAATACAATCAATAATTTAGACATAACAGACATATATAAATTTCATCCATTAATGATACACTTTCTTCTCAGCAGCACATGGATCCTTCTCTAAAATAGACCATATCACATGCCATAAAGCAACTTTTAGCAAATACAAAAAATAGAAATAATACCCTGACTTCTATCAAATCATAATGGAATGAAATTAGAAATCAATGATAGAATAAAACATAGAAGCTACTCTAACACCTAGAGACTAAATAATATGCTATTAAATGACAAGTGAATAACAGATGAAATCAGGGATGAAATTTAAAAAAATACTCAGGGAAATTAGAAGAGTGATACAACATATCAAAATCTCTGGGACACGCTGAGGTCAGTGTTAAGAGGAACCTTCATTGCATTGAGCTCATTTATTAAAAAAATAAAAATCAAAAAATAAATGACATAAATTTACATCTCAAAGGCCTAGGAAAATAAGAACAAATCAACATAAAATACAATACAAGGCAGGAAATCATTAAAATCAGAGTTGAAATCATGGAGTTGAAACAATTTTAAAAATTGACAAAACAAAAAGTTGGTTCTTTGAAAAACTAAATAAAATCAATAAACCCATAGTTACACTATGGAAGAGAAAACTCAAAAGTACTAAAATACACAATGACAAAGGAAACATCACAGCAGATACAGCTGAAATACAGAAGAAAATTAGAAACTATTTTGAAAATTTACACTCCAATAAAATAGAAAATCTTGAAGACATCTACAAATCTCTAGAGATATATGACCTACACAAACTGAATCAGGAGGACATACACAATTTAAACAGATCAATTAAAGTAAAGAAATAAAAAACATCATCAAAAGACTACTGATTAAGAAAATCCCAGGACCAGATGAATTTTTAGCAATATCCTACAAGAACTTCAAAGAAGAATTAACACCAATACTCCTCCAAGTATTCTATGAAATAGAAAAGGAAGAAACCCTTCCAAAATCATTCTATGAGGCTAATATCACCCTGATACAAAAACCAGACAAAGATACATCAAAATAAAACAGCTTTTTTTCTCTGTTACCACTGTGTTAGTAGAGGGATCCTTTGATCTGTGTCATTTGGGATCTCTTGGTGAAGTTAGCACTTTAACATGCCATCTTTTAGACCAATCTGAGGAATAAATATTCGGGCTAGATAATCATACCAGCAAAAAATAGTTACAGATAAATTCTGCTTATGTAGCAAGTTAGAAGGATTTTAGGCTTATGAAATTAGGCCAAACTTGACTCAGGATAAACTTCTGACTCTGGAGGAGCCTTTGTGATAGATATTACTAGGTACCCCCACACTAGAACCCTTTCCTTATAATCTTCCACCTTTATTTATTTTTGAGAATTTTGATACAACTGCACATCACAAGTTTCAGTTAAAAAAACATTGTCTGTTCCTACTATCCCTAGTTTTTCACATGATGGTGTGCTGTACTTTGTCAAATGCTTTTTCTGCATCTATTGAGATGATCATGATTCTTGTTTTTAAGTCTATTAATATGATGAATTATGTTTATTGATTTCTGTATGTTGATCCAACCCTGCATCCCTGGGATAAATCCCACTTGATCATCGTGCACTATCTTTTAAATGTTTTTGTATGCAAATTTGCCAGAATTTTATTGAGAATTTTTGCATCTATGTTCATCAGGAATATTGACCTGAAGTTTTCTTTCCTTGATGTGTCTTTGTCTGGTTTTGGTATCAGGGTGTTATTAGCCTCATAGAATGAGTTTGGAAGGGTTACCTCCTTTACTATTTCATGGAATGCTTTGAGGAGTATTGGTGTTAATTTTTCTTTGAAAGTCTTGTAAAACTTGGCTGAGAATCCATCTGGTCCTTGGCTATCCTTGGTTGGTAGGCTTTTTAAAAATTTTTATATTCTTTTTATTTACTTATTTATTAGTTGTTGATGGACCTTTATTTTTATTTATTTGTAGGTGGTGCTGAGCATCGAACCCAGTGCCTCATGCATGCTAGGCAAGCACGTTATCACTGAGCTACAAACACAGTTGGTAGGCTTCTGATGGCATTTTCTATTTCATTACTTGAAACTGATCTGTTTAAAGCATGCATGACTTCCTCATTCAGTTTGTATAGGTCATATGTCTAGAAATTTGTCAATGTCTTTAATATTTTCTATTTTATTAGAGTATAAATTTTCAAAATAGTTTCTAGTTATCTTCTGTATTTGAGACATGTCCATTGTAGTATTTTCTCCATCTTGTATTTTAGTAATTGGAGTTTTCTCTCTTTTTCTCTTTGTTAGCATGACCAGAG